CAGCTATCCTGCACACCCCCAGCTGTCCTGCTTCTGCTGACTTCCAGGCTGTTCCAGAACGTGCATCTTGGCCACGTGCGGGCCTTTGAGCCGGCGCCACACTGATTGAAGCCCTCGGGCCCTAGTGGGGCTGGGAGGCTGTTTGGTGCAGACCGAGGCCTCGCTGCTTGAGTCTGCTGTCTGCCCACTTTGTTTTAGATGCTTTAAAAGCACCATTTCCCCCCTACCATCCTACTATTGCTTTTTTACTTGAAATCTGTTTCATCTGATATTAATACAAAGTTGGAAATTTTAAGAAAATAAAGCAGTAGTGGCTGCTCCCTTTTCTTTCTTTTTAAAACAAAACTTCCCTGTTATGTTTTACGAGTATCTGTTTCCTCCCCATCCCCTGTGTCCCTTCTCCCTTCCTCCGTTCCTCCTCCTAACTCTCACTGCCTTGAATAGTTTCTGTAAATATTTTTCAGCTTGTCGGGATGTAAACATCCAGCTTTGGTTTATAACATTAGGACGTGCTTCACGGCACCTCTTTCTGCCTGTACTCGCCGCAACTCCTCTTTCCTCGTGATGTCTAGTATTCCACAGTGTGTTCAACTCCAGCCCTGCATTTCTTCCCTGGTTCCGGCGCCCTGCCGCAGGCCCAGCCTCCGTCACGCTTGGCTGGCAGGCGAGTGCAGCTGCGGGCCCTGGCTCAAGGCAGGAAGCCCTGGGTGCCTAGGGGCTGCCTCCCGCGGTCCCTGGGGGATCCGCCTGGACTCCGTGAGATCCGCATTCATTGTAGTCTTACTGCTTTTCATCTGAAGTAGGTTGGCCAAGCACATTGAGAAGTTTTTATTTTTGTTATTTGAATGCTGATGGCTGGTGGCTTTTTGCTGATAGGTCCTTGCTGACCCTGAGGAGCCCAGACGCCTGCCAAAGGCATGCAGTCTTGGGTCCTCTTGCTGACCTAGATGAGGCCAGGCTACCTGCCTGGACACCCTTTAGGGAAGTGGAGCCCCATGTCCTCTTGGTCTAGATGGTGGCCAGGCCATGCCACCTGCCTGGACACCCTCGAGGGGAATGGAGCTCTGTGTTCTCTTTGCTGACCTAGATGAGGCCAGGCTACCTGCCTGGACACCCTCGAGGGGAGTGGAGCCCCGTGTCCTCTTGCTGGCCTAGATGAAGTGATCAGGCCACTGCCTTTCCAGGCATGTGTGTCCTCTAGTGCAGAGTGATTCAGAACACTGGCGCTCGGTGCCGGCTGATTTCCTCTGCTGTCCTTCGCATCCTTCCTGTTTGTGATATTGCCCTGTGGCCCGCAGTGGCGTTTCCAAGGCTCATACGAGCCATTTGTGAAATTGCCCGCCTCTCCGCCGCCCCGCGCCATCGTGTGCTGGGGGCCGCCTCCTGCCCAGCACTGCTGGGGCTGTGCCTGACCTCTGGAGCTGCGCCGGGGCTCAGGAGTTGGGCTGACCGCCTCTGGCCTCACCTCCTGGTGCCTCACCTTCATTGTTTTTCTTTCAGGACCCTATCCCAGTGTCTACCTCCCTCCTCGGCAACACGTCCGACACCACCTCCACTGGCCTTGCCCAGCGCTTAGGTATGTGCCAGACCTGCCTGCCTCGTGGACCGCCAGAGCGGGGAGGGAGAAGGCGGTGCACCCGCAGCTGGCTGTGCAGGGCTCTGCTGACGCGTGGGGTCTCCTGGGGAGGGCGGTTGTGCCCACCGTCTCGGGGAGCAAGTGCCCAGGGCACCGCCATGAGTGTCCAGGCCGTGGGTGACGGCCCCTGGCGCCCAGGCGGAGTGCGTGACAGACGCGCGGGCCCGGCGCCTTCATGTGGCGAGGGTCAGCACTTGGGGAGCCGGGCGGGGCAGGTGTCTGTGGGGCGCAGGCGGCCCCTCCCGCGCCAGCACGTGTCCTGGCAGTACGCAGGCCTGCTGAGCCTGGTGGGCATTGGGCGAGAGGCCGGCTGGCCTGGTGTCCCTCTGGACCCTGAGGGCTGGGGAGTCCCGCTCTCCGCGCTTGGCTGAGGAGCCCCGACTCTGCGTCCTGACCTTGAGGCGCTCAGGTTGGGCTGTGTGACCCGAGTCAGTGGCCGCCCACCACACTCGTCCACGGCGCTGTCGTCGGCACGTTTCTCGGGGTTGTGGCCCCTGTGGTAACCCGCGGAGAGCTGGAGCAGAGCTGCGGCAGCAGGTGTCCGCCGCTGCCGAGGTCAGATGACCAGGGCAGGCCCCGCTGGCTGTGGGTGCAAGCTGGCGGCGCGTGCCCTGCCCCCCGCGAGAGACCAGGGCAGAGTCAGCTTTGTGGGCTCTGCAGCGCCCCGAGGAACGGGGCCACGGCCCTGGAACACTAGTGTCCGCTGAGCCTGGGGGCTGGGCCCTGCACTGGCAGCTGTGGCCGGTGGGGAGGGCGTGGCTGGAGGGGTCAGTACTGCCCAGGCTGCAGCCTCCCTCTGCTCACTGCGCCCCCTTTATTTAGCTCAGGTCACGGGCAGTGTGCGTGCAAGCGGGGGTGCGTGCGTCGCGGGCGGGGGGCTCTGGGCGAAGGGTTTGACCTCTGCCCCAGGAGGGTCATGACCACAGCTTCCGGGGCGCCCCGCCCCGCCAGCCTTTCCGGCCAGGGGTCGCGGGTTGTGTGGCTGGTCGGCTGGGCCACCTTGGAAGAGCTGCTCTTCGGAGACCACGAGGTGGGCCCACGGCCCCGCTGCGAAAGTCACTGTGCCTGTCCTCCGTCAGCCAGGAAGACCAACAAGCAGGTGTTCGTCAGCTACAACCTTCAGAACACAGACAGCACCTTCGCGCTGCTGGTGGAGAACAGGATCAAGGAGGAGATGGAGGCTTTCCCGGACAAGTTCTAGCTGTGGGAGAAGTGGGGGCTGTGGCCTGTGTTCCACCTACATTTAAATAAACGGATTGAGTTGCACCGTCACCAGGTCAGTGTGCTCCCAGTCTGTGTTTGGAGGGTTCATCTCACTCGCACCCCTTCTTCCCTCAGCGTGTGCGCGTGGTGGTGGCCCCGGGGATGAGGAGCAGCACGTGGGTGTTTCCTGGGGCTGCTTGGAGCCAGACAGGGTCCCAGCGGGGTAGGTTGGAGCAATAATCCCCCAGAGGCTTCCAGCAGCAGGACTGTGGCTGGCCCTGTCCCGCCCGCCCTCTGCTCACGGCGGAGGTCCTGGGACGCCTAGGAGGAAGTGCACAGGGCTTTGCAGCCCGCACTTCCCCAGGGTCAGCTGTGCTTCAGCAGCTTCACCACAGGCCCCAGGGCCGGCCTCGCCCTCCCTCTCCCTCTGCCTCCGCTGCGGGGGCAGTGAGTTCCGCCCCGAGCCGCTCAGCCCCCGCCCCCTGCCCTTTTCCAAAAGGGTCATGGGCCAGAGGCCGCTGGCCCTGGAGCCTGGACTTGTGTGGGGTCGCAGAGCTCCGCGCGTGGCTTAGTGCAGCCAGGGTTGTGTCGGCGCCGCTCTTGGGGTCCACCCGGCCCTTTGCTCCCGAGCGCGGCGGGCTGTGCACACTGAGCAGCGACAGAAGCCCCTGGCGCTCCCGGCCTGGGGACGCCGGTGGCGGGGCCGGGGCCGGGGCTCAGGACAGGCTCTCTGCAGACGGGCCCTGCTCCCGCCGAGGCCTCACCAGCGTCGAGGTGGCGTGGAAAGCCCAGCGGGCGCCCTGTGGGAGAGGAAGTCACACAAAACCAGGACGACGGAGAGAGGAGTTTGGTATAAATACTTTATTAAAGAAATATCGTTTTCTTGTTAAAAAATACGACATTAGGGCTCGGGGTACCAGTCATTCCTCACAGTCACAGTGTAAGAGAATCGGCCTCGACCTCTCTAGGGACCCGCCGCCGGGGCAGCAGGACGCCAGAGCGCGGGAGGGCAGACTCCGAGGCTGACCGGCGGCCCCCGTCCCGGGCCCGCCTGCTGCAGGACGGGCGCCCAGGCGGAGCGGCCACCCACTGCCCCCGGAGAGCCGCACTCGGTCACGGGCGCTAAGGAGGGACGCAGGAGACCTGGATAACAGGTAGCGCTTTTATTACTGTAGTCATGGTCGTGAAATGCCCTTCTTGGGTACCATCAGATGAGGTAGGGAAGACATTCCAGAGGAAACTCGTTAATGGGGCGACATGTTTATTTCTGTACAGTTACATACAAATCTTCCCCGAAGGTACAACAGGTGTGACATCATGCAGACGCGTAGCTGGGAACGACACGGGGCCCGAGGAGGCTTGTGCTGGGGGCAGGCGCCCGCAGGCCCCGGGCGCGCCGGGGTCACTCGCGGGAGGGGCTGGGGCGGCCCCACAGACAGGACGCGGGGTGCTGCTTCTCCAGGACACACACTCAAGCGGGGCACCCTTGAGACGGACGGGCACGCGCGGCGGGCGAAGCCACCGTCCGGGCTGGCTCCGCCGTGGTGCCCGCCGCCCTCCCAAGGCCCGCTCTGCCCTCTGCTCGGCCGGCCCGACTCCCCGGCCCCTCTCCCTCCCGCGAGCAGTGACCCCTGTTGGAATCAAACCCTCAGTGCCGTTCCGTTGTCTCAGGGCTCATGTTGGGTTGGGGTTAATAGACGTCTGGGAGAGAACAGGAGGAGGCCTCCCGCCCTGCACGCAGGAGTGGGGGTGGGGGCGGCCAGCGGCCAGAGCCGGGCCTGGACGGCAGGTGCCCGAGAAGCTGCCCAGAGCCAGCCAGCCCGCGGGCAGGAGGGAGGGGCCGGCAGGCTTCTCGGGGCTCGGCCCTCAGGGCAGCTTACTGCTTTGGCTTCGTTTAGGGAAGGTGCTCAGCGGCGGGAGACCCGCAGCCGCGCCCGTCCGAGGCTGCTGGACGCCAAGCCGGGGCGGCCACACCAGGAGGCTGGCGGAAGAGCCCGGCCCGCTCGTCCCGCTCCCCGGGGACGGGACAGGGTGCCCCGACTGCCGCGCTCCTGCTGTCATTCAGGATGGAGACCACAGGGCCGCACCTGCACCCGCCCCCGGAGTCTGCGGACCAGGGCACTCACGGCCTCCGGTGGCGCGGGGCGGCCGGCGCCAGGTGCAGGTGCACACCGCGCAGGTGTGCGCCCGGGCCTCGCTGGCTTCTGCACCCTGCCCACCTGCCGGACGGCCTGGCCTCTGCGTGTCACGTCCTGGACTCAGTGGGCTTGCGGCCAGGTAGCTTTGTAGTAAGTACTCTAAAAAAGGCAGAAGGTAGTAGTAGTTCACAAGTTTGGCACGCAAGGACTGCAGGGGCGGAGAAAGAAAGGCCTTTCGCATGGCGGTGAACGCGGACTTGGGAGACAGAACAGAGGCCCCTGACAGCCGACGAGGCGGCGAGACGAGCGGGGAGCGGGAAGACTGGCGAGGTGCTCCGGCAGCCGCCGGGGTGGGCTCCCCCCAGCAGACACAGCCCGCGCCCCGCAGGCGCCCAGGTCCGCCGGCTTCGGAGGGTGAGTGGAGACAGTGAGGGGCAGGCGGGGGACGCTGGACCGGGGAGCGGGGAGTGCAGTTGACCCCACTCTGGCCCTTCGTCTCCTAGCGACTGTCAGTGGAGGAGACCAAGCGGCTTCCGGAGGCGAGAGGCCACCGCCGCGGCAGACGCCAGTGGCGAGCGCGAGGTGGGCACGTCTGGGAAGGACCCAGGCCGTCCCGAACCCCAGGGGTCCGCGGTGCTCCAGGGGCAGCCCTCGGACAGGCGCACGCCCCGACCCGGGAGGTGAGAGGGGCCTCTGTCACCTGGGCGGGAGCACGCAGCCCTTGGTGCCGGGAGGGGCTGGACTTTGGTGAGTTATTGCTTCTCTCCACTGGTCGTGGTGCTTTAAGAGGCTGACGCCAGTGGACTCACCTGGAGACCACCCGGCCTTGCGCCCGCCTGCTGGCAGGGGCAGGGGCAGGCGGGGCGGGCTCCTGCGGGGTCCGGGCTCTGAGCAGCAGCGAGTGGCGCTCGTCGGGCTGGTGATTTCTACGTGGTGTGTGCTTGAGATGGGGGCCGGGCGCGGGCAGGCGCCCCTGGGGGGCTGCGGCTGCCCTTGCTGCCCACTTCAGCGGTG